TGAAAGAAGAAGTTGTATTGGCATTGGCAAAGGCCATCCGAGAGTTGTTGATTCTTTTGACTTCTCAAAGAAAACAAAGAACTTTTTTGTTGGTGGCGGTAGGTTTGCTCTAAAGTTTTTTTGTGATGTTTGTTTGCCTGAAGTGACACTAAAATCGTTGTCCTCAAATAAGACTATCTTTTTTTGTTAGTGATCAAACCATCACGAACTTTGCTTTTCGGATTAAATTAAATGTCACTTTAACATCAGTATTTAATTTCACAGTATTGTTATCTTAGGCTAGTCTCAATGGAAGTTTCATACGCATTAAATAAGATGATGTGACATAGTTTAAATGAAGAGAGAGATGAAAATAGTTTCATGGGGATGAAACTTATTTACACTAAGTCTTGGAAACAGAGCCACGAAACTCCACTGAGACTGGCCTTATCGTGTCCCGTAGTAACGCACGGACACGCTACCTAGTACACATAAAAACATAAGTTAGATACATAACTCGGTACAATTAATTAATCAACTAAGTTAGGTAACATACGCAAGAAACAAAATGGAGAATAACATGATAAGAAAAATAGAGAATACAAAATATAATGTGAAATTAGAAATACACATAACAAGTATTTTTTTCCTCTTTTGAAGCATCGTTATTTTTTTTGTGGATGTGAGGCACCATCATCTTGAGTGTTGAATCTCTAAAAATAAAAGAAAGAATAGTTAATATTTTCTTTGTCAATTTACCACAATTGAACTATATCTGCCTCCAATACTTGTTGAATAAGTTTAATATTTGCCTTCTAAAAACATTCTAGGACAAGATGGTAGAAAACATTTCTTCATAACATTTATTGATAATAAAGTTCCTAGTCAGAAGAAAAGGTAGGTAGCACAAGCATTATACTTATGTGTATAACTTTTGATTATAACTTATGTTTATAACTTGTCTTGTATAACTTCTGATTATAACTTACATGTATAACTTAACTAAATGTATATTGTATGTTTAAGTTGTACATATAAGTTTATGAAGACAAACCACAAACAATCTGAATTTGTTAATAAAAAATCAGATACACGAGAAAAATAAGTAGTAGTCAAATAAAATATACTTTTATAAGTAGATGGTATACACGTAAAAGTTAGATTTATAAGTTAGATGAACAAACTTATATGTACAAGAAAATATTGATAACTTATATTATAATAACTTGTCTGTATAACTTATAAGTTAGATGAACAGATTTATACGTACCGTTCAACATTGATAACTTATATTGCAACAATTTGTTTGTATAACTTATAAGTGAGATGAAGAAACTTATATGTACAAATCAACATTATTAATAACTTAGATATACAAATTAATATTATAACATATTAGCAGGAATATGAAACTATGTACGAAATAACTATGTAGTATAACTTATAAATATGTAACCTTATAGATCGGAAGATTATCACCATATATAACTTCCCATCATAACTTTTCTAGATTTGCAGCCATAAGATTCAATTAGATCAGAAGAAGAGAAAAGGTAAAAAGAAAAAGAAAAATGGTGAAAAAGAAAAAAATATGGTGCATAAGCATAACATTATATTATACGTGTACAACTAGTATATGAATCATATACTATCAGTAAAATAGATTGGCTAATGTATAAAAAACTAAAAAGAAAAAAAATAAAAATAAAAAAAAAGAGAAAGAGGGACGTACCTACTGGCTGCTGCGGAGAGAACACCGTCGAGAGATATTCGGCGGAGGGAATATGAATGGAAAAATTATTTAGTTGGAGGGAAAACAAAAAAGAAACATCCGTCCGTGGGGCAACCGACTCATGAGAAAAAAAAGAAAAGATATCGGGATGGAAACGGAAACCGACGACTTGGTCTGGTCGTCTGCTGTCTAGAAATTGGGTGAACGATCGCTCTAATGGAATTTGGTATGGTAACCAGCTTGCAGCAAGTGTAGTCCACTCATGATCCTAGACGCAGGTAGATATCGTTGCAAAGAATGTAACTGTAAAGAGTCCCGATTCAAGTAAGATGGCCGACTAATATCAAAATCACCAATCCATGTTCATCCACTTAATACATACTTTACTTAAAGCAATTGTTCTTCATAGTTAGCTAACTGTAGGTACAAATTAACTTTCAGTGGAACTGATGGCACTGCTGAAGCGGAACTCTTCTACTCTGACAACACTGCACACCCCAAATCGTTGGCAAACCTTGCGAGACAGTCCTGAATACACAAAGGCTACACAGTGGAACTTCACCAGGTCTGGCAGCTATCATCAATTCATCATCGTATCTCTGAACTCTGGCGTTCACATTCGCCGACCAATCCCCAAGAGAGTCCATGCCTAGCTGAACTGGTTAGGTGACCTCGACGGCACTCCTCAGGTCCTGAATTCGCTCCCCGCTGGGTTTAAAAAAATCCCCTCTTCCACGGCCAAAGCACAGGACAAAAGGCCCGGCCCGGTTCTTACATGGCAACAGTGCCCCTGTGTCAGGGTGGGACAGGGGTTCAGAGGTTTTCTCGGCTGTGTGAAAATGTCTTCTCTTTTACAGCAATGCCCGGGTGGCTTACCCTTGCATGTCGAGTTTTTTTAATTGCAGAATTAATTCCTAAAACAAAAAAAAGATGTCACTGCTCCTCAGTTCCTCATCTATATATAGCCACATGCACATTTGCCTGTTATCCTTTAACACATGCTCAATTTGTTCTTTATACACAGAAAACAGATGTGGAGAAAACATGGACCCTGCTACGCGCAGGCTTGCAAAGCATGCCTATCATGGAGAAACTGACGCTGCACTGCAACAATCATCGTCAAAGAGGTTCCATACATACACAACCTTACACGTCCTTAGAAACAGCAGCATTTCCCAGTGACCGGAATTTTACCAATATATATCAGTATAAAATTGGTGCAGGCCCAAATGTGAAGATCCTGATCATATAGAAGGTGGCGCGTGGTTCAGATCCTTCCTCGATGGGGCGGGCTAGGGGCAACGCTATCACGACGGCAGTGGTGCGCGCGCGCGAGAGAGAGTGAGAGCAGGAGAGGCGGCGGCGGCTCGACTTGGCGTCGCTGGAGACTGGAGAGAGATGGGTAAGGATGGCAACGGGTCGGGTTCGGATCGGGTGGAGTCTCCGTGCACCCAAAACCGAAACCCGAAATCGAAACCCGAATCCGCCCCGAAAACCGATTCGGGTGGAAATCTATCACCAAAACCAAACCCGCGGATACCCGAAACCCAAACGGATACCCGAAACCCGTGGATATATATACACATATTCACATGTATAAACAAGAGGCAACAAATAATAAATATTTTCATGAGTCAACTTTAAATAAATTTAATAATCTAAGTAAACAAATTATTATTAGTATATTATAAAACATGAGTTTTAATTCCAAATTATTTATTTCGGATATCCATTGGATATCCACGGGTGGAAAACAAAACCCGAAACCGAACCCGATTGGTTTCGGGGCCCCGAACCCGAAAACCGTGGGTGAAAAACCATCCCCAAACCCGAACCCGCAGAACCCGAAACCCGCGGATATCCGCACCAAACCCGATCCGTTGCCATCCTTAGAGATGGGTCTGATTTCGATGGGTCATGGCCGATATAGTGCGAGGTGCAGGCGCGCAGCGTTTGGGCCGGGCGGGCGAGAGCGAAGCGGAGCCCACGTGTCGGCACGTTTTTGCGCGTGGAGGGCTCGGGCATGGTCGCATGCTGCATGGACGACGGCACAGAGATCTGCGGCAACCGAAGGAGGAACGACCAGATAGCAACACAGAACAGACTCGCCCTATCTCCCGCCGGTCGCCGTCATGGCAACAACAACAACGGCGTCGACTCTGCAGCGGGCTGCCCATAAGGCATCACTCGCATCTCGCGCCACCGCAGCAGCCACGTCTCGCGCCGCCGCTCAGCGCGTGCGGCCGCAGCCAGGGGCGGAGCCAGAGAAATATAGAGGGGGTGCGGTCGTCCAGGCTTCATAGCAATACTTACATATATTTGATGTTCACACTGTAGTGTAACTTAATAGCGGGCAAAATTTTAGCATCAATAATAAAAAAACAAACAATAATAATATATACTAACAATGAAATAGCGTTAATAGTGTTTACCGTTAACCAAAATAAGTTAGAGAATGACACAATTATATATAAAAAAGATTGATGTGGCACTGACAAAATACAATCCTTAATTACAAGATCTACATTAGCAAAGATAAAAAAGAACAAGCCATTCAATTTTAGCTAAGAGTTAATATAATGGTCCATTGGTGCAATGTAGAGGCAAAATTGGTCGCTAGGATCTCTCAAATCTCCAGAGCTATACTGTCTTCTTAGAATTTTTGGGATCAATATATGCATTTTCTATTTCTAATATTGCAATCTCCCAGTGTGATTTTCTTTTGGAAAACATTTCCATGCTTTTCCTAACATTCACCAAATATTTATATTTTAGTTGATTCGATTGTTTTCATAAATATCATTACCAGATACCAGAGAAAGAATAAAAAAAAGTCAGACACTAGAATCTTGACAAACTACCAAGAAGGCAAGAACTATAAAATTGAAACCAATTTGGATGTTCCCATTGATGGAAATTGAAAAAAAAATAAAAAAGCTTTGAAGTTGCTTACTTTGCCTTGTGATTAAGATTGAACGGAAAATAGAGCAGGGCAGCGAGCAAACTGCACTCCTAGAGTCCTGGTGCCTGTGCCCTTGAGTGCTAGCGGCTAGCCGCCTAACCAGCGTGCAGTATTGTCGCGGCCATCGGCCAGCCAACCGCCTGCCACCGCACTTGGCCACTTCGCGTCGAGGTGAGAGAATAGGCACGGGGTAACTACGAAGGGCGGAAGGGGAGAGAAGGGGCGCGGGACGGCGGCAGGGGAGGTGTTTGGATCAGAGGGGTGCAAATACTACTACAGCGTATTTCGCATTTTAGTCTGGGTGTGGCCACATCCCGTCGGACCTATATGGATCCGCCCGTGGCTGCAGCCGTCGCTCGCGCAGCCCGCCTAGGCTCAGGCGGCCTCACATGCCCCCTCAAGAGCTGCTGCCCAAATCGCAGTGATGCCTCCACGAAGCCACGTGACGATGCTCCCCGCCCCACCTCTCCCAGACTACCAGAGAGGTGGATCGGCGTGGATTACGACCAGGTGCCAGGTAAACCAATCTCCCGGTTTTCGTAGCTAGATAGGGAGGGCTACGAATCCATCCATCCGTCCATCTCATATAAGTAATTCATAATAAATCCTTTGTGCAATTTAATTCGTTGTGCGTGCTCGACACTACTGACTCGGAATCTCGGATGGATGAAACTATCAGATGATGCTAAGACTCCGACGGACAAGGACCTTGAATCGGACGAAGCTGTACGGGCCTTGTATGAGCGCTGGCGCAGGGCTTTCAACAAGAAACGCGACCATGCCGAGATGGTTTGTCGGTTCAAAATATTCAGATATATTGCGGAGGAGGTGCACAGCCACAACACTTATGTTCCTGATGATCCAGAGGAAGCAGCCATCCACCTTCAGAAAAGAAGGGAGGCCGAATTACTTCTTTCAAAAGGCGAAGATGTACACTCACGCTTTGATGACTGGCATCTGCCACGAGAACTAGGTCCACTCTCCGATGGGGGAGATCCATGTCTTCGTATACGCGATTATGACAGGTATAAGATGATCGAAGAGATTGTAGCACGCCGTGCTGTCAAAGATGTTGCGGTGGAGTAGTTTGCTTAGGGAAATCTCCCTAGACCTTGAAAGAGATGATCTGAACTCACCAAATCACTCGAATGCAAGTTAGGCTTTGCTGTTCCATGTGTACTAAGTTATGCTTCCATGCATGTGTGCTAAGTTATGCTTTCATTCTACTACTAAGTTCTGCTTCTCTAACATCTTCTTTTTAAGAGGCTATGATGTTTTCCATATGTTTTCAGCTGGTCAAAGTGTCTATTTTAGTCTTCTGCATTTAAAGGCACAAGAGTTCAAACGGATCAAGATCAGTATGGAGACAGTAACATATGGCAGCTGTTTGAACATTAATTTTGTTGAGCATTGTGACAGAAAATAAAGGTGATTATTATTATGTCTCCAAAATTCAACATTTTTATCACTATCATGCATTGTTCATCAATGTATAAGCTAGCTTATACCCTGAACTAGGTTTATGCTCGTGCATTATAACCAGAACAAAAATAAAACCATGGCAATTCAAGTTTATTTACGGATTGTTGCCACTTAATGATATAAAATTATAACTCACCCAGAAGAGGTAGCATACATAGAATTACTTATATTGTTCATTACATAACGAAGGGCACAAAAATAACATTCCAATTTTTTATGTTTTGATGAAACCATCTAATAAGTCCAAAATTATTACATAAAGGTCTAAGCTATGAATGAATATACAAAGACAAGGGAATATGTCTAACCTACTATATTGCAATAATTACTAATGGTAGAACATGTATCATATTACATAAAATCATTACTAGGAAAATGGCTTTTGCTAATAGTATTTGCACCGCCAGTTCGTAATAAAAACATAGATTTTGACCAGCTGCTTGTATGGAGAACTGACGATGACAATCAGGGAGGGTTTTATCAGTGAAAATCATTTTCACCATCAAATTATAACAAAACCAATGGTGAAAACCACCCACTGCTGAGCCACATGCCCGTATAGCCCACCAAGTGGCCTCACCACGTGAGCCCCCCTCCCTCTCTTTGCTTCATCAGGGTAGCCAATAGGCAATGTGTGTGAAGGCATGCGCGTGTAGTCGTGTGTGTGAAGGGCGGCCAGCACAGGGCGGCACTGGCGGCGCATGGAGCGTCAGAGGCTGGCTCGCTCGTGGCGGCGTCGCAGAGGCCAGCAAGCTCGCGGTGGTGTCGTGGAGGCCAGGGAGCCAGCGGCGAGTGCCAGGTGGCCGGCTCACTTAGATCTTTTCACCTAAACTACATACTTTTCAGTCTATATTATAAATATCCATGCAGTTCGAGGCACGGCGGGCCGACACGAAGGATGCAATTTTGGTCCCGGACCAAGCACGGCACGGCCCGATGGTCAGTGGGCATGGGCTGGACCGGCCCGAGGGAGCAGGCCGTGCATGGGCCGCTGCTTAGGCCCGTGGGCTGGCACGACACGGCCCGGCCTGCGACGGTCAGCCCGACAGCGGCCCGGCCTCATCCCTCCCCCTCCTCACTCCTCCCCTCCCCAAGGCCCAGCGCGGCCCACCGTCGCCGTCTCCCCCCTCGTATATAAGCGCACGCCGCGGCGGAGCGTGGCACATCCCGAATCCTAGCTCATTTCATTTCATCCCGCCGCGTCGCTCTCGTCTCGCCTCGCTCTCGCGATCTCGCCCTCGTAGTCTCGGCTCCGTCCTCCCCGACTCCGGTGAGGTGACCTCGACGATCCACCTGCCGTCGGCGAGCAGCTCCCTACTCCTCCTATCTAATCCCCTCCCTGTTCCCTCTCTGCCTCTCCCTTCTCTCTATCCCTATCTCCTCTCTAGATCTCGGTGATTATATGAGTTCGTGTCCCCGTCTGCCCCTCCTCTGCCGCTCGCTGTCCTTCTAACCGGTGTGTCGTCTTCTCTGGGTGGCCCTCGTCTTCTCCGGCACCGGGTTCCGGTTGCACAGGTACAACCCTAACCCTAACCCTAAACCTAACCCTAACCCTAACCCGCCTCTTCTTCCATTGATGAATGATTATTTGCATATTCTGATATATTGTTTTCCTCCTCCATGTCTTTACGTAGGTCGGTAGCCGATGCGTCGTCCTCTAGCTATGGCATAGAGCGACCAAGGCGGCCTCGCGCACCATTGAGGAACGGTGTCGGAGAGCCCTCCATGGTCGAGGGCACCATGGCTGGTGCTGATGACGAGATCGTCTGGCCGCTCACCGGCAACGACGATCTCATCGCGGCAGGCCTGGCACCTGAGGACGATGATGACACCCAAGAGGACGCTACTGCCTTGTTCGGTCTAGACAGCGAGGCGGTAGTGAAGGGGCGACGGCGACTGGGACCTGGTCTGCTCCAACGGCTCAACTCCATCTATTGCTGGTACCGATACCTCTTCTAGACCTGGTGTTGGTAAGCGTAAATCTGCTGTGTGGGCTAATTTTGATGAGATCTATGAGACTGTGAATGGTAGAAAAATCTGCACTAAAGCTACCTGTAAAATATGTAAGCATACTTTGTCTGCTAGATCTAATGCTGGCACGGGGCACTTGAAGAGGCATCAGAAATCTTGTAGGCAGAAAACTGATAAAGCTGCTAGGGTTCAGTCTACGCTTGCTTACAGTACTAATGGTTTTGTGCATAATTGGGATTATAAACCTGATGTTACTAGATTTGAATTGTATCGCTTGATTGCTAGGCTTGATTTGTCGTTAGGTATTGGTGAGACAGAGGCCTAGGAGGATTACATTGTCCGTGCTCATAACCCTAGGTTTGTTAAAATATCTAGACAGACCACCACTACAGATCTAAGTAAACTATTTACTGAACGTCGTAATATGCTTAAGAATTATGTGTTGTCTGCTACTTCCTCTGTTACTCTGACATTAGACATTTGGTCTGGTAATACTAAGGAGGATTACATTAGTATTGTTGCTCATTTTGTTAGTGCTGATTGGGAGTTACAGAAAAATGTTATTGTGCTTAGGTTGATTAAGGTGAAACATACTGGTGAAAATATTGCTGAAAGAGTTGCTTGTGTGGTTGAGGAGTTTAGTCTCATTGATAAGGTTTTCTCTGTAACTCTAGACAATGCTTCTTCTAATGCTAAGGCTATGAAAACTTTAACATCTATGTTTGCTGGTTATTTAGGTTCTGATCCTACACCTTAGCCTGTTGATTTTTCTAAGCGTAAGTACATTCTTGTGCATCAACGTTGTGCTTGTTATATCATTAATCTAATTGTAAAATCTAGTTTAAATAGGTTCAAACCTTACACAGAAGATTTTAGAACTGCTCTTAACTTCTTAAATTTCTCAAATCAAAGAATTGATATGTTTAAGAACTACTGTACTGCTCAGGGTGTTAGACCTAGAAAGTTTGGCTTAGATATGGATGTTAGATAAAATGCTACATGTCTTATACTTAAACACTTGGTTCTATATAAGCATGTTTTTTCTGTGTTCATTAATTCCAATTATGGCTCTGAATTATTGTCTGCAAGGCATTGGTATATAGCTGAAAAGATATTGGAGTTTCTAGAACTATTTTATGACTCCACTGTTGTTCTTTCTGGTGTTTACTATCCAACTAGTCTACTTATCATATCCAACTAGTCCACTTATCCTGCACCATCTGCTAGAAATTACTTCTCATTTATATGCAAGTGAAAAAGATCAAAATATAATTACTGTTGTATATCCTATGAAGCTTAAATTCCTTAAAATACTGACAGCATATACCTATGTTATATTCATTTACATTCATTCTTGATCCTAAAGCTAAGATGAGAGGTTTATTTAGAGTCATAGAATTACTTAAAGAGAGCACTGGTTGTGATTATACTTCATATTATGCTGATGTGAAAACTAAAATTTACAAGTTATTTAACAAATATGAGAGAAAGTTTGGTGCAGCTAGGAGTCAAAGGGTTGCACAGCCTGCAAGCCATACAGGTAAGAGAAAATAGGCATGGGGAAGAATCTTTGGAGGCCCTAGATCTGTTGTTGTTCCTTCCCCTGCCTGTGCCTCCACTTTATTTTCATTTGCTTCTACTGCTAATGAGCTCTCAGTTTATCTGGACAGTGACAATTTCACTGCATACGAGGATTATTTTGATTTACTTCTCTGGTGGCGTGACCACAAACTAATCTATCCAATCCTATCTATCATGGCTAGAGATATTATGTCTGTTCCTGTTTCTACTGCTCTTCGAAATCATGTTTTAGCTTGATAGGAAGAATAATTGAAGAGCGGCGACGCTCTCTGTCGCCTAAAACTGTGGAGATGCTGGGCTGCATAAATGATTGGGAGTTGGGAGAAAGCATATTACAACATGTTGTTGACAATCAAGAGCTGGAGGACTCCTTCAAGAATCTATACCTCGATGATGATGCAGATGGGGTTGTTGGTTCTTCTGGGGCTGGGGCTGGTCCATCTAGGGTTAGAGCTGGTTCATCTGGGGCTGGTAGATCTAGGGCTGTTGGTAATTAATCTGTTATCTCTATTTTGTATCTATCATCTGTGACTGTGACAGTGTGACTTGGGACCTTTGAACAATGATGGAAGACTTATTAAGAGCTGTGCTGTACTCTTTTTCCCTTTCTAGGATTTCTCACAAAGGTGAGTTTTACCTAGAAAGATTTTTTAATGAGGTAGCATTGCACAAACAGCTCAGTTATTTTAATTTTCTTGTCTGATTGTCTCTTTTGGTGGCTTTTGTTAGAAACTTAGAATTGAGAATCTGTGATTGTGATCAGTTTATTACTTGTGATTGTGAAATACTGAAATGTGAATGAATTTGAATTGTGAAATGTGATTGTGAAAATGGAGAAGTATTGGATGAGAGAAGCAGTTTGAGATGTTTTTATGGCATCGGGTTGTGGGCTGGCACGGCCTGTGGATTTGGCCGTGCTTACCAGGCCGGCACGGCCCGGATTTCGGCCCGTAGGGCCTTGCTTGGGCCGAAGGCCAGGCACGATACCCGGAGGGGCACGTGCCGTGCTGGCCCATCCCCTGCGGGCCGTGCTTGGCCCGGGCCGGGGCCGGCCAGTTGGCCAACTATAGTCTATATGCACAGTTCCAGATCCTCGGTGTTGTCATCTTCCCCGAGCATCTTTCGTGATCGTAACCAGTCTGATAGAACACATTCCCATGACAGGTCTCCCTCGCCAAGTGGACAGCTTTGCCAAACATTGAAAGTTCTTTACCCCATGGCAAAATGAGTTTCCATATCCAATTGAAACAACCTTCTTCTATGCTAACATTATCCTATGAAGGGCTCAAATGAACCCATTTGTAACTAATGCTAGTGATCTTTTTGTTCCATGTATAATAATATGATGTGCTATAATTCGGCTTACTGGCCCGTGCGAAGCACGGGGGTACCTGCTAGTTTTCCTCTAAATTCGGACGGATCAGAGTTGCTCGCAGCTGGACTGTGGCAAGCAGACAAGGTGCAATGGTCACCTTCTCATATGAGCACTGAGAAAATTCAGATTGAGGAGACAAACTCATGTTTGCTTGCACTTGCAGACCTAAAACTTCTCTTGTTACTCTCTCCAATTACAGATGCAAGAACTTGGGTCATCGGCCTACAGGAAGGCACTTTTAGGGGCTGATTGGTTTTCAGTTTCTGGCTGATCAGGCCGCGGGATGCAAAGTCTCGTTAGGCCATGTTTGGTTAGTCTGGATTGCGTCTTAAATTGTTTCCAGATGATGAAAGCTTATATAAGTTAGAGAAGCAATCCGGCAAGGAATTGTTCCAGGAGATAAGTCTGTGATAACTGAACGAGTCCTTACTTCCTTAGGGTCCGATTGAAAGACAAGTTTTGAGTCCAAAACTAGTGTAAAATACAAACCCATAATTTTTTACTGGTGAAACTGAAAAATGGTGTTTGGAAGTCCGGTCAGCCTAATAAAATTACACCGGTTTTGAGCCATTACAACCGGAAAAATAAAAACGTGTGAGCAGGTCACACTTTTTTTTCCGACAAATATCGGGCAGGAGGTCTCGGTCGTATCTCACCCATGCGTCATCTTCTTCCAAGGCTGTTGAGATCTCATCCACACGGCGCAACGCCGCCGTAGGGGGCTCGATCCCGTCGGCCCCTGCAACCGAGTCCCGCCGAACCTCCTCCGCCTCCTAGACTCTGTCGGCACTCCAGCGACTGCCGATGGGGGAACACTGTCTACGGCCTCGTCACATACCTCTCAGGCGCCGAGATGTGGAACTACGCCGCTTGCATCGCGCGTCGCGGCAGTGGAGATGCCCAGGACAAGGTGCGGAGCTGCAGGGACGTGGTCCTCGCCTCCTCTGGTGCGCACAACTTCAGGTGCGATACGGTAACGCCGCCTTTCTTCGGAGTTCCGGAGTGGTGGACATGTCGCCGACTCCTTGACGTGCTCAGCGCCATGGCCGGATGGCCCCTAACAACTTCTCCAGCTAGTCGAGTCTGGGTAGTCGATTGCTCGGCGCGGCGGCAAAATCACCACTCTGGTTCGCGCCGCTGATTAACTCCAAGACGAGTCCATGGAGCTCCCGTGGCCAACGCCGGCTCGACGGGACCAGGAGGAACCGAATAGAAGAGCATCCATTGACGAAGCTCAGCTTTGCTCATTCGAATTATGTCCAGATCTGGACACAAGATACTAGCAAATGGTGGCTGATTTTTGGCGTCTACTACTTGCGTTTGGATTTTGATTTCTCAGATCCCTTCTCTCAAAGTAGAGAATATACTACTGCTTCTCCATTCTTTTTTTTCAGGGTTGAGAAATAATTTATGCAAACCAAACACAAATTTCCAATGGAAAAGATTTACAAGGGTTTTGTTCTGCACACCAGAATACATTCGGAAGTCACTTCCAGGTGAAAAAAATCATTAGACATCCAAACATGCCCTTATATGATTGCCTGAGTAATGCTAGGCCTGATTCTGGGAAACTAATCATGCCTTTACGTGTTATTGTTTGTACAGAGAGTATATTCAAACAGAAGAGCTTTGTTCTACGTTTCGTATTTATTATGCAGATTAGTGTTTCAGAATTAAAGCAACCCTTATATGATTTACAATAATTTGGCAAAGCTTTTTTTTGTTTTAGACAGAGAAAATTATTTCCGGTTTCAACCTTAGGAAAGACGAGATACCCATATTACAAAGAGGTACCCATAATCAATGTTTTCAGGTCGTCTAGTCGAACCTAGTCGCTATTCAAGACTAATCGTGATTAGTCACAGCCGATTAGTCGAGCCTAGTCGAATTACTGGTCGTCCATATAATCGCCCCTATGCATCGGACATATACATACTATATATATACATATATGTACTATATAGTGTACACAATATAGCAAGCATCAAGACTACATTAGTATTTAGCAAGTGACTTACTTGTGGGAGTTGTTTTCTTGCCTTTTCTTCATCGTCCAAGCATCCCAAACTCCATTCCTTTGTTGACTTGTTCTTTGGAAGCTGCAATACCAAAGAACACCATAATTAGCAACACTAATGTAGTCTTGATCTTGAGTTGTTGACACATATCAATAGAAAGACTTACGAGCACTAGGACATCCATGCATCTCCATATTACAAAGGTTTGCTTGAATCTTTTTATTCGAGAGGGGACAATCTTTTTGCAAAATATGCACAAAATCCTTCTTCAAGCATCCGCCACCACCCATACTTCCATCCCGGATCTTGTGATTTTGCCGTCCTCAGCTTGCTTGGGCAAGCTCTGGAGGTAGCTTTGCAATAGCCCTCTCAACTAGTGTTGCAACATCCGGACTAGTGAGGAAGCAAATAGTGGCGCACCTGACCAGGATGATGAATGTAGAACACCTCCGTCAAGGTCGAAGCATCAAGCATTATCACTTCCACGTTTGCACGTCGTCGCTCCACAAATTGCATACAAGCACAAGGTCGATAGTTAGCAAACATTACTAGCAGAGCAGAGAGGAGGATCTGACCATGTAGGTCAGAGAGCAGATGGGGAGGGAAAATGGACATCTGATCGTCAGCGACTCATCACCAACGAAAGCAGAGGGCCGGCACCTTGCCTTCAAATTGAGGAATGACCTAACTCGAGCCCCGACTCTCGAGAGAACATGAAGCATCCAAATCAGAGAGTAGATGAGAGGACAAATCACAGAGGGCCGCCCTCACTGGAGCAGAGGCGGGCGGAGGAGATGGCAAAGCAAGAGCTAGCAGAGGGTCGAGCGCACTGTGCACTCAGTGGCAAGGCAGCAGAGTCACAGATGGCTGTACCATCTGCGTGAGCAGAGGGGCCTAGGGTAGCGAAGGGCCACCGGCAGGAGCAACAGCGGGCGCGATCATGAGTCATGAAGCCGAGCATGTGGGGGCCATGGCTGTTAATTTCGTGTGAATTTTTGTTGGTAAAACCCTTATCCTCCCACCACGCACGCTCGCGCCACTGCTGTGTTTCGCTAGGCCTTCGGCCGATGGTACGCCGTAAAAAAAAAACAACCAAAACTAGTCGTCCCACCCCTAATCGGAACTAATCGCGATAGGCGATATTTATTTCGACGCACTGTGCCCCTAATGATAATCGGGTCGAGGTCCCTAATCGAGCACCCAGTATCGATTAGGACGATTAATCGCGATTAATCGCGATTAATCGGACGACTTGAAATCATTGCCCATAATTACAAAACTCATTCAAGTCACAAATTTTTTTTAACAAAACTCACTCGCAATAATTCTAAAAACATCATGAAAAAGGGTTTAACATTATTGACCAATTATGAATATAAGCGGACATCATAGAATGCAAAAAACTACATAGCTATTGACTCCAAGTTCTAATAGGCCAAAACTTGCAGCTCTTGTTAATCCTTAGGTTGTTGTAATGGTGTTCAGAGCCATACTCAGTACACACTCCTGTATAAACTTGCAACAAAGTTTTTGGTCAACGCCTGTCAAAAACAATATTGTTTCTTGATAGCCATGCATAGCACCTAATAAATTTGCTAAAGTATCTGTCACTAACTTTAGGACATTATCTTGACCCGCCGATACATTCCACTGGTTAAATAAATCATATAGGTGGTCTAATTTCAAAAGTGAACAAACGGCATGCTAAATAAATTTAGTATGATGAAATTAAAAGGCATTGGATGTTTTTTCTGATTAAAAACACATGTTTTACTTCCAAACCAATTTCTTCTCGTTAGACTATCCTTCATGAGGACAACATCTTTCGTCAGATACAGCATAAAGATTTTATTGTTTACCACAGAATGTTTCAAATTAAGGAAAAAAACTAATTTTCTTAAACTAAAAACATGTTCTAGCACCGTAAATAAAAATATTTCTTGACAAAAAAGTGCCATGTTTATGAGAAACTTATTCCAACATCATGAGAAAAAATGTCCCCATATCACAAGAAGAAGGTTCAGATTTGGGAGACAAATATTCATGGCCTTATTCGTTTCGCTGAAAAGCCAGGCTGAAAAGTACCGTTGGTTGATTTGTTATGAGAGAAAAACACTATACCATGACTAATAAGTTCAAGCGAACAGGAGGCATGATGTTTATATGAAATAAAATATTATAAAAATAATTAGAACACAAATTTCAAAAGATCGTAACAGTTTTTACCCTATGATAATGAAAAAAAAGGAGAAAAGACTTATAAGGAGAAGAAAAAGAACCAAGGTGTCATGGTACAATAAGAAAGAAGAAAAAGAAAATGGAAATGGAAATGGAAACCGAGAAATAATAATGGATCATTTTCATGGGCCGCACTCCCTACACCGCCGCTACCTGCTGGCACTGCGAACGCCACCGTCGGCCTCACATTTACGGATCCACCGGCCGGCCACCCTCCGGCTCAGCACGTTGCTAGGCGCGCCGGCCTGGCTCGGCAGCACAGCAGCAAGCCCAGCCGGAGGGCAGTGCAGCGTTGCGGAAGCCCACACACCCCGAGCCCCCGAGGCCGCGACGCAAGACGCCGCCGCCCCGAGCGGCGAGTGCCCGAGGCCTAGCCGCTCGCCCGCCCGCCCGCCCGAGAGGCACCCTGCCGGCCGCCACCCCGTGCCCCCGCCTGGGCCTGGGCGCCTGGCGCTGGTCGCTGAGCCGGGCTGCGCGCGTGGCCGAGGTGCCGAGCAGCCGAGCAAGCTGCACGCCGCCGGCACCGCCCGCCGCCCGCTAGTGCGCCAAGCTGCAGAGCAGCGCGCCAGCGCCCCAGACCGGTGAGTGTGCTTCTGATTTCTGAAATTCTGAGCTCTCCCAAATGGCCAAATCTCATACCCTAGGGTTTGGGCAGTGAGCACTGGGCAGTAAATTTGGGCTTGGGGATTGTGTATATGTGAATTTGGTGTGTGATTCATTGTTATTGGGCAGTGAATTTGTGGAATGAAATTTCTTGTCATTTTTCAGGAAGAAAGCAAAAGCCTCGAACTAGAACTAGTATTGTAGTCTCTTATTTATGTAAAGGCCTTATTTTATGTATGATCTATGTAAGTTTCGGACCTATTTATGCAAGTTTTGAACCTTTTAAATGTATTATTACAATTTGGTTAATTTAAGTCATGTATACTGAACTTCATTTTTTGGATTCTACCGTATTGTTTTTAATTTTTTTTATTAGGACTACCCTTGTTTTAAATCCTGGGTCCGCCACTGGGAGTTGTGGCACTATGAGTTTGGCATTGGTGTTATGTTTCTCACCTAGCATACTCCCTATTGCAAATTATCAAGATCTGCCACTGACTAATGGAACCAATTTATAGGGTGTCTTAGACTGAAGAAGATCTCAGGAAAGCTTGAAAAGGTCTGAGAGATGTCACTGGGCTATGCTGAGAAGCTGTCCTACAGGGAGGATGTGGGTACTGTGGGAATGCCTGAGATCTTTGAGCCCCCTGAGCTAGTCCAGAATAAGGTTAATCTCTCTGGCCTATTTATTTGGATTTATTATTAGATACAAATGCTTCAATATGTGTTGAAGCCAGCAAAATACTTGTGAGATGTTTGCACTTAATTATGATATTAACTTTGAAACATTTGTTTCCTTAGGCTGTAAATGAGCTACACAAGTGTTTTGGTCGTGTCAGGTCGTGGTTTAATCATGTATTTAAGTGCTTGCTTAAGATTATGTGATGTTTTTTTTTGGATCAAGCATGTGCATGTTGCTTGGAATATATTTGGAAAATGATAACGCTCATAACACAAATGAATGGTAGGTTGTGTGCCCCCCTCCTCTTTAGAGTTGCTGTCCTTTTTATAAAATTAATTTTGTGAGATATGGTGAGGTTAGATATGTTCTAGAAAAGAATGTCCTAAGTCGAGAATAACGATGTTACAAAGGGAGATCTACTGTGTTACTGTTATATTGGCTTTGGGGAAGATTAAATGGAGCAATTTTTTTTTTTTTGGGATGTATCATCATGAGATTTTGTTGGCCCATGGTTTGATCAGTGTGACATCCAAGTCCAATTTGAATTAGGCACTTGGTGGCCCATGTGTGTGTTGATGTGAGATTAGCTGTGGGAAAGATTAAATGAAGCAAAGACAATTTTTGGATGTATCATTGGTGCTTTCATGAGATTTTGTTGGCTCACAGTTTGATCAGTGTGACATCCCGTCCAATTTGAATTAAACACTTGGTGGCCCATGTGTGTGTTGATGTGAGATTGTGGGGTTTAGTCCCGCCTTGCTAGTTGAGGGTGGGTTAGACCATCATATAAGGTTTATAGAGCACATGTCACTAACCCTGGATACACGAAGCGAGAATGAAGGCTTAAGTGGGTTGATGGGCACTCATTTGAGCTGTTTGGATTTGGACTCTAGGGCGTTACAGTTGGTGTGGCTGAGTTCTAGCTTGATCCTCAGTTTGATTGATGGCACATGAGGCATAAATTACGTCCTTCACGCCAAGTAATTCCTTATACGTAGAAACCTGGTTCAGAGGCTGATCTGCTAGCTGTTAAAGGGAACTGAAATTTGGAAAGAACAGTAGGGAACTTCAGTCCTCCTATGTGAGAATTTCTGGTAAGGTAGTTGACCATGCACCAGGGTGCTGGGGGAACATATATTGCCATCAGTGATCAGTGGCGGATCCAGAAACGGGGTGCGAGGGGGGCTAACAACGGAAGACTATAGATTTTACTGTAGTTAAACTAAATGGTGCAATAGGTATAACAAGAAAAATAAGTAACAAGTAACAATATTAATTTAAAATGCATGTAGGCCTCTATACTAGTAGTCTTTCATGCGGGAAACTTTAGCTTGCTTCGCCTGACTCGCATCTACAACATGGAAAACATCCGAGTACGGAACATGTTTTGTCATTTGAAATTACGGTAACACTCATTTTTGACGGTTGAAGCCTTGAAGGCGTATAACAATATTTTCTCTAGTACTAAAAAACATATGCTGGGGCTAATCTTCAAGACATAATAGTGCTCATAGAGTCATACTCCCTCCAGGTCTTAAAAACGTGTCGCTGGGAGGGAAGAGCAAAAGGATCCTAAAACTAGTCGTTTTGTAGTTGTGGCATCAATTTGGAGCAAAAGGATCCTAAAACTAGTCGTTTTGTAGTTGTGGCATCAATTTGGACTAAACTAACCCTGCTGCCCATTAACTGCGCATGGACTGCATTAACCGCAGGCGGCTCTCTTCCTCTCCTGTGCGCATATATGGCCGCATGCGCTTCCAACTTCCAAATTCACATGCAGCCGCAAACTGGCGTGAGTAGCTTTGCATGGTGCTTTGCTACAGCGCGCGACTGTGAAAATTTCATATGCGCGGCAGGCCGAAAAAAATTACAAAATCGCAGCAGCAAAAAAACTGGTTGCCAGGAGTCGAACTCAGCTCATCAACTTGAAAAGTAGTGCCCTTTACCACCTGAGCGGAGAGCTTGTTTTGTTTCAAGGTACTAACGGGACCCTATTTAATATGGGCAAAGCAGGAAATAGGCACCCTAATTAAACACTCCTTGGTATTGGAGATTATGTCCAAAACGACATGTTTTTGAGACCTGGAGGGAGTAGTAGTTTAGAAAGAGAGAACACGACACTAATACTTGAGGCATATGAGTACGGAGTACCGCTAGTCGGCTAGTTTGTACAAGGCCTCTGGCGGTCTGGCCACAAGCACTGCCTGTGTGATGAACAGGAGTGATGCTGGTGCCTCCATGCCTACAGGCCGCCAGCTGCAGCCGTGCCAGCCGGATTGGGATGGAGGACCAGTGGCTGCATGCCTGGGGCCTGGGCTTGGTCGGCTGCTTGGCCGGCCAGTTGGCTTGCGGCGGATCTACTGTAGGCGCCAGCTGTCTATGGTTGGGTGCAAGGATACTGGGAGCAGCAGGACGGCCAAGTCGTGATGGGGATTGGTTGAACGCCGGCTGCAAGCCCGCTAGGATGAAACGGAGCATGGGAGTCTCGGAATGGTGTGAGTTTGGCTGGTACTGGGCCAAGTTTACTGTGTTAGCCTGGGCTGGACCTTGTTGGCTTCTTCTATGGGCTGGTATTGGTACATGGGGTCTTGGCTTCTACTTGGGCTGGACCTGGGCTGCAGCCCCCCCAGCCCGGGCTCTAAGATCCATCCCCGTCAGTGATGACAATGTCATGGTGACAACCAGAGCACTTCTGTTCATATGCCATATTATGGTACCTTTTTGGAAAAAAAGGGCGTACCCAGTGCAGAGAGCTCCCGCTCTGTGCGGGGTCTGGGGAAGGGTGTCAGTGGCAAGCCTTACCCTCACCTGTACAATGCAAGGAGACCGCGACTCGAACCCGGGACCTTCCGGTCACAGGCGGTAAGACTCTACCGCGACTCGAACCCGGGAAGGGTGTCAGTGCCATATTATGGTACCTTTTTGGAAAATGTACTAAAATGAAACTTATAGCTGTGCAAATCCATGTTGTGGTTAATGTTTTTTTGAAGCAACATGTTGTGGTTAATGTTTTGTAGACCAATAGAGGCACATTAAATAATCTCTGTATTTTGACATTCTATTTTTTCTTCCTGGATTATTGATGCAGATAGAAGAGCTTGCTGCCATGGTGCAAAAGGTTGTGCTACCATGTTGGTACCCATTTCAACTCTTAATCATGATTTCCTTATACTGATGGCATTAATTGGCCTTTACAATGCAGAGTAAGCATTTAGTGGTGTTTACTGGGGCCGGGATATCAACTTCGTCAGGCATACCTGATTTTCGAGGGCCCAAGGGTGTCTGGACCTTGCAGGTAGTACTGGTGTCTGTGTTACTTGCCTTGAGTACGGACCCCTTTAGCACGTGAATGTATTTATTTTAAGTGAATTTTGATGCTTGGTTGCATGCTAGACATCCTTGCATGTACTTGCATGGCATGCAATCCACATTTGAGTGTATGTTTGATAGAAGGGGAATATAATGACAGAAATGTGCTCCCATACGGTTATAATATTGGACTTTGGGGCCCACCAAAAAGTTATTTTCCTTCACAAATACTTGATGTTTTGGATAAGATCTAGTCAAACTTCAGAAACTTTTTTCAGTAACTACCAACTATTTAGTTTGGAAACAAAAAAGTTACATTCATAGATTTATTTTTAAAAAAGTACATTCTATAAGTTTGTTGGATTTTATAACTATATCCTAACAGAAGGTAGTGGTCAAATTTTCACATTGGAGACCATGTCATGTCCAAGTGTCAGGTATTTTTGACTGTAGGATGATATTATGAAATTCTTCCATTTTATTTTTGAAAAAAATAGTTTTCAATAATCAATACCTGCTATTCCCCATAGGAAGAAACTACTTTCCTGATGAACAGTTATTTGAATAAACACTTTCAGTTTTATAATTTTACATGTTATATATAGCGTGCAGGAAAAGGTGTTCCTAATGCATCACTTCCCTTCCATCGTGCTGTTCCAAGTTTGACTCATATGGCACTAGTCGAACTGGAAAGAGCAGGATTTCTAAAGTTCGTCATAAGCCAGGTGTGCTCTAGGTGCAGTACCTGCAGATATTCTCCATTCTATTCATCTTACTGCTAAGGAGTTTAACATATCAAAATATGAAATAATTTATCAAAGTACAAAATCTTAAATATGTAAAATTAAAATATACATAATGCAATCTTTTATTTATTATTAGTTATTACAGCATTCTTCTGTGTGGTTAATGGATTGCTTCTGACACCCATTTAATTTGAGTAGTCTGTATTTTCCAGAATGTTGACAGCCTACATCTCCGTTCTGGTTTCCCAAGGGAGAAGCTGGCTGAATTACATGGCAATTCTTTCAAGGAGATCTGCCCATGCTGTAAAACTGAGTATGATTTACTTATATTACATCTTATTCAGGAGTATGTATCAGTTATCCATATAGTTCATTTTTCTCGTCTTAGTTTATTCAAGAGACTGTTCTTTGTTTGAAGGTACCTTCGTGATTTTGAGATTGAGACAATAGGACTGAAGGATACTCCAAGGCGTTGTTCTGATAAGAATTGTGGAGCTAGATTAAAAGATACAGTTCTTGACTGGGATGTAAGTACCTGCATCTTCAACATGTTAAGCTACAATTTTTTTTTTCCGAAATATTTTCATTTGGCAATAGGAAGTACTGTGAAATATTACCTTTGGCAAATGGAAGTTCTATGAAACACTACAGATTTTCATATTCCATAGTGTTGCGGGCGGGTGTGAAGGGCAGGCCTGGTGCAAGCGGTAGTCTTACCACCTGTGACCGGAAGGTCCCGGGTTCAAGTCGCGGTCTCCTCGCATTGCACAGGCGAGGGTAAGGCTTGCCACTAACACCCTTCCCCAGACCCCGCACAGAGCGGGAGCTCTCTGCACTGGGTACGCCCCCTTTTATAGTGTTGTGGGCGTGTTTGTTGAAGAGCCAAGCAGAATTGCCTGCCAGGCAGCTTTCCCAGGCTGTCGGATTTGGTCGCCTGGTGGTCAGGATTGCTGCCCGGCAGCTGACCTGCCGGCCAGGTATCAAGCCAAACACGCCTATTAGTCCCTGCTACAGAAATTTTATATCCTTTTTGTTGTGTACCTTATGGTATAGTTGGATTAATGCCCATTTTGAACCCTAGTTATCGCTGAAGTCATTAGTACCTCAGAAGTTATTTTAATAATCCATAGCCAACACAATATTTGACGAGGTCACTTGAACTCTTGCTATTCTTTCTTGAGACTTTTTTGTCATTATAAAGATCGCAATCCCTGTGTGTCTCTGGAAAATTCAGTGGTCATAGCCACTACTCTAACTTTTGGTTTGCTGCTAGCGCAGCTGACCTGCTAGCCAGGTATCAAGCCAAACACGCCTATTAGTCCCTGCTATATGAAATATTTTTTAGCATCCTTTTTTGTTGTGTACCTTATGGTAGAGTCTGGATTTAATGCCCAATTTTTTTTTTGAATTCCTAGATTCAAAAAATATGATTGAATATGATTTCATTAGAAAAATCATTCGAATTAAATGAAAATAATTTTCAAAATTAGTTATTTTAATAATCCATAGCCAACACAATATTTGACGAGGTTACTTGAACTCTTGACATACTTGCTCTTCTTGATTGCAAACCATTTGTGTTGTAATAGATTTTTTTAGTAGTGCTTCAGCTTCTATAATTTTATGCCTCTAAGGCCCTGTTTGGGAGTAACGTATTGTTTTTCAGATGTAAATCACTTCCGCCTGTAATATACTGTGCACAAGAATACAACCGAATTTTCTTACACTTGGAAAACGCTGTTTGGGTAACAGCTAGCTTCCGGCTTGTGTCAGCTACCGAGTCGCTTGCTTCTCTGATGTGCTTTGTATCTCAAAGGCACAAATAGCAATTTCTCAGCAAATTACATTGCAAATCTCACCAAGTTTAAAAATTTAACAAATATGGAAATGCACAATCACATAAACCACAAGGACAAGATCGATATAAGATTCTATCATCAGTAACTAGGCACACCATTCTGATGATCAAATTCAGAAACATGATTATACAAGCCATCACCCATTTCTTCAAAACAAGTGACACTTCTCATATCAGTTCACTGTTCACAGCTGCTGCAAGACTGAACCTCGAAGTTCAGATACAAGTATATAGCCAACAAACACATCTTGGGAAAAGAAGAGCAATGCAGCAATTTGAGTATCTCATCAGTGTCTAGAATAAACACATCAAGGTCTAGAATATATCAATAGATACTAACACATCATCCTAGAAACAAAATCATTCGCATTAAACCTCCTCCGGCGACCACATAGAAAGGACGAGATACATCCAACATCATAATTTAAGCACTAGCAGAGACACGAACAACATAGATAGATACCAATCTGATTAACACAAAAAGAACTTCTCCAGAACTCACACTAGGCCATAACCGTTCAAGATCTTCACATATTTGCAGCCTCTAACCTGCAGCACAACGTTATAAATTTGAGCATGAAACATTGTTAAAATTACAAAGAAATAAGCGCTTTTAGAAATATAAGCAATGAGCTTGTCTACTGGTTCTAAAAAATATGGGCAAATTAAAATGCAACACTTTCTGAAAATAAATTGGACTCTCTGGTGAACAAAATGAGGTGGAGCAGCAAGCATAATCTCATGGATACAAAATTAAAGTACATTAACCACATGATCTAGAGGTGCAGCCTTTGTTATCTCATTGTATATTGTGTACCTCAAAGCCGATTAACACAATAAGTAAAGCTGGGGTACTCTGGTCAAGAAACCACAGGTCCTAGTCTACAGAGACATAAATAACAGTCAGTACACTTACAGTTCATTGAGTTCCAAGTTTGCTGACTTCCTTCATCAACCACATAGCACGGAGTCTTGACTCATAACCAAGAAATATCTCTCGGTTCATGGAATCCTTAAAAACCTCATGCAAGAATCTTGACATCATCTGGCACATCATCCATTTCCTTTAACACGGCTAAGCATCTTGTAATTGAAAACTCTTGTCCTTGACTTATGTTTTGTGCTTTCACAGCAGCTTGTTCTCTTTTGAAACGCATGAAGTCTGACATGGTTTGTTCGATGTGTGGCACCACCTTTTCATCAGTTTTTCTCTTTGGTCTTCCTTTGGCTGGTCCAGTTGTCCCTGATCTTGAGCTCGTACGGTCTTCACTCTGCTGCTCTTGTTCATCGTCATCATTGTCTGAAAGATTAATTGTCTTGTCATGATCATGTTGTTGCTGTTTAGTGACCAAACCTTGCCTATCAAAAAAATTTTTCAGCATATGATCTGATGATCTTTTCTTCTGGTGATGAGTAGATTGTTTCTCCATTCCTTGAGTTTCTGCTGACTCATTTCCCAACCATGAGGTCCAGTCTCATCAAATCTTAATGGAGACTCTCTCTCACCATCAGATGAATAAGAGTGACTTCCTACATTCATTGGTACAGTCCATGGATTTCTCTGTCTGAAGTCTATGACTGTCTTCTCTGATAATCCAACTTCAGAACTTTTACATGGTGTAGGTTTAGGCTTACTAGAAGTAAAGCAAAGCTTCCCTTCAGCAAGTTGTCCTATTAGGACATCAAAGTTAGCCTAACAAATCTCTCTCATGATAATATGAAAATGTGTGTAGCTTTTACCTTCATACAGCAGGTCCAGGGAATCAAATAGCGGAAAGCTCTTCTTTTCATACCTCCTTAACTTTGAATCCTCCTGATAATAAATTTATTTACAGCCAGGTTAAGTAATCTCATTAAACAGATTGTTTACTGCAGTTTTTAACAAGCTGTACAGTACAATCTTTATTTAAGAACGCAACTATTTTAGAACTCATCACACAAGCTGTACAGTACAAAACTAGTTGTTAGAACAACTTCTGAATTAATTGCATTAATTCAACTTACTTCTATTATCTCATCCCAAATCTCAGCTGTTGTGTTAATTATTGATGCATCATTATTCCAAGAGACGCCACTGTGCTTCAGGATGCTTTTGATTGCTTTATAATCTTTCTTCAGCTGAGTCTCTTTGTCTTGAATCTTAGTTTTACTGAACATTGCTTCAGGAAATTTGTCATTGAAGTCCTTCACGATTCTATTCCATCCATCCGTACACCAACCATTTTGCCCACGGTAGTGAGAAGTTCTATACTCATTAAGTATATCAACCAACCCCTTTTCATATTTAGAGGTCCATTTTGCTCTTTGTGTCAACGAATCTGAGATGAAAATAACAATTATGATAGCTACAAAATAAATAATGAGATGAAAATCAAATCTGAGATGGAAATAAAATATGGAAAGTTAAACATTATGCATCTACAAATAATATCACCATTAAACCAGGAAGAAGTCAAGGAACATAAATATCTAACTTAGAAACTTGCATGTCTGTGTTATTACAGTGATTCTACAAAACAAGACAACATAAATATTCAAATTTCCATCTCTCACTGAAGCATCAGCACATAAATATGCCCTATGAACTAAACAATTGTCCTCATCCTCTTCGCCTCCTATTTCTTTCATAATCTGTCCACATCCTCTTCGCAATGTCGTCTCTCATAGCATTGGCCTCATTTCTTTGACTGTTTAGTTGTGTAACATCATCTCTGTACCCCTCACTGTCACTAGGAAGAACCACAAACTTACGAGGGTCAATTAGAGGTTCTTGGCTGCTTAGCCACTCATCATCACCATTGTGGAGTCTGATAACGTTATGCAACACAACTGCAGCTGCTGGAATTTTCACTTGGGTTTCAATGGGATAGTGCGTGGCTACTTTTAAGATAGGAAATCTCATCTTTAAGATGCCAATGGCTCGCTCTATGTGATTCCTGATGCGAGCGTGGCGAAGATTGAACAATTCTTTATAGTCCCTCGGTCGGCAATTTGCTCGGCCTTGGTCTTGAAGATGATATCTTACTCGATAAGGGGCAAGGAAGCATGTTGTGTTTGCATATCCCCCATCAACTAGATAATACTTGCCAATAGGTACGTGAAACCTAGACCTAATGGCAGAACGCAGAACCCCGGCGTTGATGCTAAACCTTCCCAGCCAGTGGAAACATAAACGAAGTTCAAGTCAAAGTCACACGCGAGCATCACATTTTGAGAAAGAGTTCCTTTTCTATTCCTATATGGTGCTGCTTTACTTGCACCGATTGTGATTGGAACATGAGTCCCATCTATCGCTCCTAAGCAGTTCTGCAAGGGAGAGAAGAGGTGGTATTTCTAATTAGTATATACGTAAGAAAAAGGTAAGAATTTTGAAACAATACATCTATTTGTTACATGTACCTGAAAGTAAGGTGCAAAATGTGGGTTGGTCGATATTTTCCAATGGGTCTCAGATGATGGGGGCTTCACAAAATCAAAAGCCAATGAAGAGATTGCATCAAAGGCTGCTGCGATATGTCTATGTATTGTCTCCACTGTGCTGAAACCTATCACACAATGCAGTAAAACTTGCATTTCGCGCAAGCATGTACATGAACATTGCTAGTTGTTCTTCTACAGTAACCCCTCTTGTACTCTGCAAAAGCCCTCTTGAACTAAGGTAATCTGCAA